ATGGAGCCGCCGTGAATCATCAGCAGCCGCGGCGGCGGGATGGGGGCGAGCGCAGTGGCCGCCTAAGCGCGGAGGGCAGGCGGCGGCCGCGGCGTCCCCGGCGCAGCCTCGCGCGCACTCCTCTCCCGGGCGACGGCCCGGCTCCTGCGGAGGTCAAGATGGAAGAGATCCTGAGGAAGCTGCAGAAGGAAGCGTCGGGGAGCAAGTACAAAGCCATCAAGGAGAGCTGCACCTGGGCCCTGGGTAAGCGGGCAGCCCTGGGCATTTGGAGCGTTCGCTGAGCGTCGGTTGTGGATGCGTTCCGCGACATTGCGAGAGTTGCCTCCTTGAATTGATGTCGGATGTGCGGATCTTGGCTCAGGCGTTGACAGTCCCCCGTCTCCCTTCTGCTCCCTTTCCTTCCCCAAACCTTAACCGGGAACCGCTGTCCTCCCTGCCGGGCGGCCCCTCCTCCCGGTCCTGGTAGTCCTAGGCTGGTGCGAATACAGGGGCCTGATTTGGAAGCACCTGTCGGGAAGAGGGAACTTGAACCATTAACCCCGATCTCCTGTCGAAGCATTGGCAGTGTAACTCGGAAGGAAAGGCTGATTTAATTTGATTTCCCTTGTAGGGACCAGCCTGTCAAGTATCAGCTTTAATGGTTACCGTACATGAAAACTAACATAGGACGGGATTGTGTTACTGCCCCAGTTCTCTTGCGGTCTGCCCTTCAGACAGGTGGGATTTTAGATTTATGAGCTGTGCTAGTATAGGAATAAGTTCCAGGTGGCAAATTTGTCTTTCCCATCAGACGGGTTGCAAAACTCAACAGCGGAGAAAAGGGAAAGTCGTATCAATTAGGTGAGAATTTGGGCAATCAAAATTGCCTGGATGGGAAGGAAAGAGCCCAGAAGCACACTTTGCGCAATAATGGTGCTAAAAACCGAAAAGGCTTGGGAGAAACCGGAGCAGCTCTGTGGGTCCCTCTCCTTGCCCAAGCCTGCACGCGATTCCTCACTTGCCATGCAATTAAAACATGCAATTGAATCCTCCTCCCCCTCAACCTACAACAGTATGTGCTTTTCATGACGGTGTGCTTTGCAGCAGCCCCAGAAGAGAGAGAAGTGCTTCTAGCAGGCTTTTCACTGAATGTAGAACGCTGATGGCTGTTTAGATGATTGTTGATATTGGAAGGGCTGAGTCCACACATATATCCGGATGTGTGTACATACATTTTTTTACACCTGTGTTTATCATCACACAATATGGATATGATCCAGGAAATTTACCTTGTAGGTAGGGGCCAGAGCTTGACCATTTCGGTTCATTGTTAAAGAGAAATGGGCTGTTTATATAAGTAAGCAGCAAGGCTCTTAAAGCCACAGTACTATTTTCAAATTGCCATTGTCATTCAGCAGAGTGATTCCAAACTAGGTCCCCAAATACCTCTAATGAAGGGTCACAGATGGCTGAGTAACATAATAAAGCAGGATGGAGCTGTGTTGTAAGCATGCCATTCCTTGTATTCATTATTATTTTCCTGCGAGTTAAACCATTTAGATGAACGTGGAAGAGAGGAGAAACCTAGTGTTTTTAATACGTTTGACTTTTGTTATTCAGCCTCTTAAATTAAACTATAATGTTGGTGGGTTTAGGTCTTTGAAGCCACCCTGGAAGCCTAGACCTGAGGCACTTAGATTATGGCAGTGGAGCCTGGAATCCACAAACCTGGTTGTAATAGTAGACTTTTATTTCTCAGTGACTGTTCTCTAGTTGGGAGCTCTGGTGGCCTGGTGCTTAAGGCATTTGACTGCTAACCAGAAGGCTGGCGGTTCAAACCCACCAGCCACTCCTCAGAAGGAAGGTTGGGAAACCTGAGGAGGATTCGTTATGAGTTGGATCCGACCCGATGGCAGTGGGTATTCTCTAGTTAGAAGAGGAGAGAGAAGTGCATGAAATTGTAAAATAACAGAGTATGTGTAAAATAACAGGCTGGAATGTGCAACCAGAAAACAGCTCAAGGAAGGGAGGATGAATGTGGGGTCAGGTGTTGGGGGCTGGGGGAGGGATCAGTGTAAGCTGGTGAAGCTTCTGAAGTAGACTTGAAGAATGGATAAACTATGGATTCCTTCCTTCCTTCATTTAGTAAACATTTCTTAAACACTCCCCGATTCTGAGCAAGGGACCTCTGGTAGCATAGTACCTAAGGCATTTGACTGCTAACCAGAAGGCTGGCAGTTCAAACCCACCAGCCACTCCTCGGAAGGAAGATTGGGCAATCTACTTCCAGAGCTCCCAAGTACCTATAGTTAATTATATATTACCGCAAATCTAATATACTATTGGACCCTCTGGTAGCAT